CCTGTGGGTTCCTTTATGGACCCTGTCCATCTCATATTTGATCCTCCTCTTTTCCTGCTGTCTTCCACCTTTCTCATCATTATTATGTTTTCCGGAGAATACTGCCTTCTCATGATGTGCCCAAAGTAGGGCAGCCTCAGTTTCAACATTTTGCCTCCAAGGATGTTTCAGGTTTGATTTGATCTAGGATCTGCTTGCTTATCTTTCTGGCACTTGAGGTTATCTACTACTCCAGCACCATATTTGAAAGGATTGTTTACAATCATGTAAAGGAGGATTTATTTCTTCTATTTATTTTATTTAAAATATTTTTTTAGCCCACCTTTCTCCTAAAAAAGTACCCAAGAAGATGCCGGCCACAGAGACTGGTGAAATGTTAGGAAGAAAAACCTCAAAAACATGGCCAGACAGCCCGAAAAACCTACCGTGTCCAGGCGGTGGGATAATGATGATGATGAGCATGGGCCGCCCGCAGCATCTCGTGGGAAATGCCCTGACTTTTTCCCTGTTCCTTCCTCTTTTTTTCCCTCTCCCCCCCCCGCCCCCTTGTCTTTCTCTCTCTCCCGCGTGGAGGGAGCGTGTTGTGGGAAAGGGGCTTGCCCGCTTTCTGGGCCCTCGCGGGGCTGGCGAGTCCCGGGGAACGGGGGGGGGGCGGTCGGGCTTCTCGGGTCTCCAGGCCCGGAGGCGACTCCCCTGACTTTTTCCCTGTTCCTTCCTCTTTTTTTCCCTCTCCCCCCCCCGCCCCCTTGTCTTTCTCTCTCTCCCGCGTGGAGGGAGCGTGTTGTGGGAAAGGGGCTTGCCCGCTTTCTGGGCCCTCGCGGGGCTGGCGAGTCCCGGGGAACGGGGGGGGGGCGGTCGGGCTTCTCGGGTCTCCAGGCCCGGAGGCGACTCTCCGAGCAATCCCCTGCTTTAGGAAAAAGAGGAAAGGATGGATGTGGGTTAGGAATTGGTTGTCTCGGTTTCTTCTTTGGTGAAACTGCGCTCCAGTCCCTTGGTTTTTTACATGGTGTACACCGCCCAGAGTGGCCTTGGGCCAGAGGGGTGGTATAAATAGCAATAATAACAATAGTAGTAGGCAGTACAGTAGTAGTAGTAATCGTAATCATGCATATACTGTACATACATGCATACACACATACTGCACTGATATTGAACAGATACTTAGGTTTTTGGTTAAAACTTGTATCTGTTATATAGGATGCCAGTCCATGTACAGTGTTTATAAATTTGATTTACTGTGCCTGGTGTTTTTAAATAATATTAACAACAACAATAATAATAGATTTTTAGTCTTTCTTAAAAACCAACCAACCAACCAGGGGTCTTCCTCCACCCCTTCCGGACTCAGTCTGCTGCTGTTTTTCTATGCATGTTGCTTCTGCACAGAATCCACCCGTTCAAAAGCCAGGAGCTGGAGGGTGGGGTCGCTCAGGAATGGTCATGCCATTTCCCAGAGACAGTGGTGGACCCCTAACCCTGCCCTGCCTCTGTGACATCACCAGACCCCACCATCCATCCTGTCTCAGGCTTTGGCCCTGTGGTCCCAGGGCAAAGGATGCTGCTGATACTACCTGGCCATCCTGTGAGTGGCTTCACTCACACTCTCACACCCCTTTTGAGAATAAACAAAATCCATCACCTCCACTTGAGAGAGGTCGTAATATGAGGAAAAACAGCGGGGTGGATTGTTTGTGCAGAAAGTTAGGCTTTTGTCATTATCATAGAATCATGAAGTTGCAAGGGGGTCTTTAAGGCCTTCGAGTCCAACCCCCTGCTCAAGGCAGGAATACAAATCACAGGAGATCTGCCAGCTGGCCATCCAAATTTCTCTTGAATGTCTCCAGCGTTACAGCCCTCCCCACCTCTCAAGGTCATGGGTTCCAGTGTCATACTGCTCTAATGGTTAGGAAATGTTTCCTGATATTCAACCAAAATCCTGTAACTTGAGCCCGTTATTACTTGTCCTGCACTATTGGATGATTGAAAAAAGATCCTGCCTCTCCTCTTTATGACAGCCTTTGAAAAGTGCTGTCTTACCTCCCCTCAGTTTTCTTTTCTCAAGGCTACATTCCCTTCATTCAAACTTTCACTTTGCATATTAGATCCAAAGCAGATTGCACTGTCCTAAGATAAAAGGAGTAAATAACACACTTTTAATACACACCTGTTGTTTGATAATGTTTTGATATTTCTTCACCAATTGAGTGTTTCTCTTTTTACATTCTGCATTTGTTTTCTGTTGTTATGGGGCTGTATTAGTTGCCCCATAATATTGGTTGATAATCCTCAGACTGCATGTATTTTGCCATTTTCTTCCATTGGCTATCACAATGAATATAAAGTGTGTAACAAACTGTCCAGAGTTCATTAAAAGCAGTAGAGACAATGCATGCCCATTAATGCCAGAGTGAGGGTGTCTGCTCTGGAAAGGGTCGCTTCACTGGGAGTGATCCCCCTTAAAACTGCCTTTCTCTATGTACTGGAGTATCTTCACTCCATCTCCAAAACATAGTAGTCCTACCCCTGGTTCAAAAAGGTCCAGCTTGGGCATGGAACAGGTGGGATTTGATTTAAATCGCAATTTAAATTTTAAAATTGGATTTTTAAATTATTATTTAAAATTTTAAATTGAGTCTTAAAATTTAAAGTGTAATTAAATTCATTGTTTAAATGAATTTGATTTTTAGAAATAGATTTTTATTTATCCAGGTACAGAGTAGGTTCTGTCTGGTTCACAATCTCCTGTGTATCACTGCTGGAAAATTGCACTCATTTCACACCCTGAAATAATCCATTTTTACTACCTGGTGGTGCATTTGCACTGTCAATGCCTGTGATTACCCCTGCAAGGAGGTCATTCACCAGTACCGGGGCCCTTGTGGAGATAGACCCCTGAAATGTATGTTGCTGACAGGTGCATTTGGTAGGGACATGGGAGAGGGTCCTCTCTGTGGCTGCTCCCCAACTTTGGAACTCCCTCCCTCTGACAGCCAGCCTGGCCCATCTTTGCTGTCCTTCCGTTAGCAGGCAGAGAAAACCTTCCTCTTTAGCCAGGCTTTCCCTGAATGGGGCTTTTAAATGGATAGTTGTGCTTTACTGCCCTGAATGTGTTTTTGGTGTTGTTTTTGTTTACTGTCATTGGTGGTATCTATTTGATCCTTTTTAGCATTTATATACTTACTGTTTTTAACTTTTAATATTATTTTTCAATGATGTAAGGCACCTTAGGTCTTTCTTAAGGAGAAAGGTGGGATAAAAAGATTTTAAATAAATAAAGCAAGTCACTTTCAACTAACAGCAATCCTCATGGGGTTTTTGAGGTGTGCAAAATGTTCAAGGAGTGGTTTACTGTTGCCACACATACCCAGTGAGTTGTTCTTCGTAGCCTCTGTGAATGCACACAACTGGGTTATTCTGCGCCTGTGCTGAACCTCTCGGACGTTTCTAGAGCTTAAAGACACATGATTAGTGGGACGTTCCCCCTTGGAGCGCATGCTCCGGCCACCACTGATCCCCTCAGTTCCTTTTTTCCGCCGTGTTGGCTAGACCTTTTTCTGAGAACTAGAACGATCTATTGAGTTGAGGTGATGCCCTGCTTGACAACGTTAATTCGTTCCAGCTAAATCGCTGTAGAACGAAAACGTAAAGCGAAATAAAAAAGCCCATTGAAATGCATTGAAAACCGTTCAATGCATTCCAATGGGCTGAAAACTCACCGTCCAGCGAAGATCCTCCATAGGGGAGGCCATTTTCGGTGCCTGTGCAGTGAGGAATCCATCCCTATGCACAGCGGGGCCCATTTTGTACACCCGGCGGCCATTTTGAAACCCAACGATCAGCTGTTTTTGATCGTAAAGCGAAAATCGGTTCCCAAAGCAGGGAACCGATCATCGCGCAGTGGAAAAATCCCATTCAAAATATCACCATCAAGCGGATTCGTCGTTAAACGGGGTAATCGTAAAGCGGGGCACGACTGTAATCCTTTTCATCAAATCATCGTTTATTTTCTTCAAATTCCTTTTCAATCTTTCTTTATTGGACGTTTCCCCTGTGAGTTTATTCCAGTTTTTCTCTGTCTGCATTTCCTGATCCCGTCCTCGCCCACAACGGTTTTTCCTCCCCTTTTTCCCACTCTTTTATGTCCCTCCCCAGGGCCTTTCAAGTGGTGCCACGACCGTTTACCTTTTCTGTCTTGGAGAACAACATCTGACACACTCCTGCTCCAAGTGTAAAAGACTAAGTAAACCAGCGCTAAAACTGTGTTTACAAAGACTGAGATCTTAGCTCTGGGAGAAATCTATGAACCCACCTCCGGTCACTATGGAAGTCTGCACAATCTTCAGACCCTCGACCCGATCGGCAAAATCCCCCTGTATCCGTTTCCAGCCCAGCGACTCCTTCTCACCATAAGGAGAAGCCAAAGTCCACTTCAAACAAAATTGGTGTCGACGATGAAGGCCTCAACTTGCTCTCTAGAGTCTTCTAAAAAGAAAAAAGACAAGATCACCTCAAAGAAACTGAAAAGACCCTCAAAGTCCACTCAGCTCGACCCACCACAGCAGATTCTTCCATCTCTCATCCTGGAAGAATCATCTAGAGATGCTCTGGGCTCTCTTTCTGACAGAGATGACCTCTCTCTAGTTCCGGCCCAAGCTCCAGCCTCCGCTGCTAGCTTATCACCGAGTATTGGCCTCTCTCCGGCTGATATTCATTCCAGCCAGGCCTCAGCCCATTCGAGCCCTGCATCATCAGGGCAGGCAGTTCCAATTGAACTATCTGGCTCTGATTTGTCTCGCCATTCTCCTAGAAAACATCGGGAGAAGAGACATCTATCACCTGCATTGTATGACCTCCCACACCGGGAGTACAACTATTATCCGCAGTTGTCTCGACACCAGTTCCAGGATGATAGAAGAGAGATACTACCAATATGACCCATATCTACCTGACAATCCTCAAGAACAACTATATTATGATGAACCTAAACAGGTCCGCTATAATTTACCGTATCCACCTTGATACTCACCTTCGATTCCGATTCGACAACATCACATACCAGTTCTGTTCTCTCCCATTTGGGCTTTCCACAGCATCGAAGACATTTACCAAATGCATGGCACCAGTGTCTGGCTACCTTCGACTCCAAGGTATCAATATATTCCCTTCTATAGATGACTGGTTGATAATCTCAGCCCTGGTTAAATGAAACCCTGCCCTCCACCATTGTGCAGCATCCAGGAGAAGATGACATGATTGTATTTGAATAAATGTAGATTGTTGTACGTGAGCAAAATAAAACATCCCCTGAAAATAAGCCCTAATGAGTTTTTTTGGAGCAAAAATAAGACCCTGTCTTATTTTTGGGGAAACACGGTAGTAACACTCGAGCTCGCACGTCAACTCACCTGATGGACGTTTCTCCCCAATTTGCTCGTCGGAAACCCTTCTTGCCTCTCCAATTGACAGTACAGGTTACCACCGATGCCAGCCCATCAGGATTGAGAGCACATTGCCAGCATCAAAGGATCCATGGCCTATGGACAAATAAAGAGAAAACATTACACATCGTTCACCTCAAACTCTTAGCAATTATCAAGGCTTTCCATGCTTTCCTACCACTTATTGTGGGTCATGCAGTCCAACTTGCTACGGACAATACGAAGGCCCTTTACTACATAAACAAACATGGAGACACACATTCTCTATCCTTACTGTACCTGACCATCAAGCTCTGGGAATGTTGTTCCCTACATCACATCTTCCCAGTACCAGTCCACATAGCTACACATGAAAGTTTCCTTGTGGACACACGAATGGTCCCTAAACAACACAGTCTTCAATTTCCTTTGTGACCGTTAGGGCACCCCTTCCCTCGACATCTTTGGTTCCCGAGCAAATACCAAGTGCCAACATTACTGTTCTCGAGCAGGAACTGACAAGAACTCGATCGGAGACACCTTCGTGATAGACTGGGACAAGGACTTACTCTTATCTATTCCCTCTGATACCACTCATACAGTACAAGGAACCATAATTCGACTTAGACAGTTCCAGTCGAATGCCATCCCCCTCACTCCATGATGGCCGCGACAACCATGGTTTACCCACCTGAGGTCAATGTCAACCTACTCGTTCTGGCTTCCACCTTTGCACTCAAGACGATGGGATGATTCACCATCCAGACATATTCTCTCTGAATTACAGAGTTGCAGTATACCACGTGTGCCAGGTGACACTAACAAGTAGAGTTTCCCAGACTTATGAAGGTACCAGACAAGGAAACAGTATTGATAGCAGAAATAATTGTATTGAATCAAGTTATTTGCAGGATATATATACATACACATACAGCTTTGCCCTTATTTCCAGTCCAGTGGTCTAACACGGCAATTCCAATAGAGTTCAGGCATAAATCAGATCAGAGTTCCTGTAAGTCAAATTCAGCAGAGTCCACATAATTCAGTCCAGCAGTCAGATTCCTTATTCAAGATTCCTCTATGACAATACAGCACTTTTCACCACGACCACCACATCACCACGACACCACAAAGTATGTGTGCTGAGTCTGCTTGCTTTATCCTAGGGTTAGCGAATCCTAGGTTTGTTTTCTCATCTGATACGAGTCATTACCCCAGCTGCATAAATTCTTACTTGGCTTACAATTCTTAGCGTGGATCCTTACAATTACTTACAGTGTTTTTGCTCTTTTACAATTGCTTAGCACAAAACTGTATTAACAATTCTTCCAGGTTTATGTCAAACCTGTCACTGAACCTGACAGCATGGAGGATATTCCCCGCCATAAAGGATGTACTTGATTGGGCTTGAAAGCCCTCAACCCAGCTTCTGTATCAAAACAAATGGAAAGCATTTATTTCCTTTACTGATTCTCAGAATCTACCTGCAACAGCAGTCTCTTTGAAGACTTTATTTACCTTTGTTCTTTATCGCTTCAATTTTGGACTATCTCATTCCACTTTGAAAGTTTTTATCTCTGCTATTATAGCTCATCAACCTTCTTATTCTGAATCAGCCAAACTTGTTTCTCATCCAACTTTGAAAAAAATTCTCAAGGGACTCAACAGTATTGGGCCCCCACGCCAATGTCCTGTTCTTCAGTGGTCTTTACAACTTGTCCTCAATGCACTTACTCAACCACCCTTTGAACCAATGGCTACCTGTGATCTTAAACTACTTTCCTTGAAAACATCTTTTCATGTGGAAATAACATCTGGTAAGTGGGCTAGTGAACTTGCAGCCCTCTGATCCAATCCACTCTTCCTTCAGTTCCATCCAGATAAGGTCACTCTGCATTTTGATGTGTCCTTACCTAAAGTTGTATCTGAATTTCACCTCAATCAATTTATAATTCTACCTACCCTATTTCCATCTCCATCAACACCTTTTGAGCGTATGCTCCATACACTTGACGTAAGACACCCCCTTGCCTTTTACATTGACAGGACCAAATCATTCAGAAAAATACAGAGACTCTTTCTATGTTTTCACGGGCCATAAAGGGTCTCCAGCTTCGCCGCAATCTATTTCTAGATGGATTGTCTAAACTATCTCATTGGCGTATGAGCTAACTGGTAAAACACCTCCTGAACATTTAACGGCCCATTCTACCAGAGCAACATCTGCCTTCCCGTGGGGGATTGAACTCCCTCACATCTGCCATGCAGTGACATGGTCTACTCAATCGACCTTTGTCAGACACTGCCATCTCAATGTCAGGGTACAGAATGATGCTGGTTTTGGAAGAGCTGTTTTAGCATCCTTTCTACCGTGACGTCCCACCACAGTTTGGAAATGTTTGGGGACCACTGGTTTAGAGGACGCATGTATATATGCTTAGTGTCCATGGTTGAAGGCATGGTGACCAAATGCAAAAGCTTATAATTCCATTGTTAACTGGTGAGAAATTTTCAAAATTCTGATTACAGAAACAACTTGTCAGTAAGCAGTGAAATTGAGGAGCTAATCCAAGAACTGTTGGGCCCTCTTACAGAACTTGAGTGCATTGTGCCATAATTCTTAGGCATACTTCAGTCTCGAAAGACCATGGTAACGCACTCTGTATGAGTGTCCTCCCCAGAGCATGAAGCCTGGGTAGAATAATACGGAGGATAGCCTGTTACCCAAGCAGCAAATCCCCCGTCTCCACATCGCTGAAATAGTCCAATGGAAAGACAAGAGCCAATACAACTGGTTCCAGCGACGTCGCAGGAGTTGCCAGAACTACACGAACTGCCTCCGGGACTCTCGCTCCGTATTTTGCCTCGAGGTTTACTCCTGAAGTACTCCGTATTTTGCCTCAAAGTTTACTCCTGAAGTCTTTTCTATCAGTGGATAGGCAGTGAAGGTTTGAAATTGGAGTTTTCCTTCTCCTAGATGGGCTGCCTACCTACCTGGTACCATAATTATGTGCCATAATATAGCAGATTATAATCCCTGTTCCATAAACAGATCTTCAATTCATGGTTGACCTGGGACAATAGTTCCTCAGCTTCAGTATCTAAAAGCTTATCTTCTGTCTGAGATACTGTTGTCATGGAAAGGAATCAGCTGAGAATTCTCACCAGAGGTTTTATGTCTTCCACTTTACCATTAGTCCCATGACCAGGTGCTACCAAAAACCTTCCTCTCTCGCGTTTTTGTTATCCATAAACCCATATGACATTCTTCACATACGAAACAGCCTTCCTAAAAGCCAGATCATTGGTATAACTAGTCCAGTACTCTCTGTTCCAACAGAGAGAAGTTTCTTCCAGTCTGACAGAAATTTACTCTGACCTGCCCATGTGATTTTTCTTGGATCATTTCACCATTTTATCAATTAACCAGTCTTTCTAACCTCTTTTCCAGTGAGTGCTGATACTGTTCCTGTCCCAAGAACAGACTTGTATAAGTTATTATGCTGTTTGATAATAAGGTTTTGGTTGCTCATTATTTTGATTCAAGAACTACTAACATAATACATAACGTAATCCATTGTGCTCCTAATAGCAGTACAAATCCATGATAATGTGGTTGTTGTCCTAGTGGGTCCTAGAAAGGAGAAAGGCAGGATATAAATGAAGTAAGTTTGGTTTTTTAAACCTATCTATGTATCCCTTTCTTGTCTTCATGAAACCCACCCTTGTAATCTCTTTTGCTGTGCCTGCTCACTTTCTGTTTTCTGTTTCCCAGCTGTTGCTGAACTGCCTAAAATGTTGTAGGAACTGGATAGGTAAAAAGAAATGCGGGCCTTCCTCCAGTTTAATTTCTAATCAATGAGCCATAGAAGTAAAAAGACACATCCGGACAAGATGTAAACTCAGGTGCGAGTTTTTCAGAAAGTTACATCTATATTGTAATGGCCAGATGAAGTCGCCAGTGAGAAAGGCAGTTTTAGAAGCAGTTTTTGGACATGACCCCAGAGCAGTTCCTTTCAGTGAAGGTGGTGGAGCAGGCCTGGTGGATCCAGCTGTGGGGGTTGATGATAAAGATTGTTCTGGACTAGGTGTGATATGGCAGTTGGGCCCAGCTAAGCCAGTAAAGGCTTCTGACTGCTCTTTGATGCGACCAGTCATGCCTTAGTGTGTTATCAGTTTACTAGCACTTAGTACATGTCAAAGAGGACAGAATCATCTTATGCAAGGCATGATCTTATGATTTTTCTATATTGAGCATGTCATGTAGAATTGAACTCTACAAACTAGCCTTTTGTCTATCCTGCCAGCTTTCAGACCTGTTGCTAAATAGAGAAGTAAAGGCTCAGAGAGTTACCTGAGCCATTCTATAAGAATCTGAGAATCCTATATTAGCAAAAGTAGATTTTTCACCCTTGTTTTAAAAGAAACTGCATGGTTAATGGTAAAAAGACTGCTGAATGGAATCCTTAAAAGTAGTTTAACAGTTTTTTTTACAGTTTATAGCTTTTAAAAAAGTTTTTACAGTTCAAAAATCTGCATATAAAGGCTTGTAAGAGCAGTCCCCTTCCTCCTCCTTGGAGCTAACTCCGAAGAAAAATATTACATCTTAAGAACTGTGTTAGCTGTTGATTTGAACAGTTACACAGTACAATAAAATAATTAGTTTTGAAACTGTCAGGGAATGTAAATAATGAAGACCTAGCTTGAAGTAAATGCTTATATTTTCCTTTAATACAAAACATTTGCCCAGCACACAACAATTCCATCTTCCCAGGGCAATGTGTCTATCTCCTCGTTTTATCTTAAGTACCTCCCTGCTTGATGCTGTCTGTTGGCTCACTTTGCCGCACATACATGAGCACTCATGCTGCAGTTTGTTACTGTTTTTCATGCTTTCTTCCTTTTAGAACCCAGGATGATGTAACAGCATTTGGTTCAGCCACCCTGTACCTTTTAGCCCGTACCTGTACTCCAAGAGACTCTAGAGGTTTAGGTGGGGTTTGGTGATGCTAGCTGTGTAGTTGGGATTCTTTCTGACATCCCAGGGCAGAGCAGCTGCAATGTTTAGGCATCTGATTTGCCTGCAGACATACTAAAGACCTACTGGGTGTCAAACAGTGGGTTGTGGAAGTATTCTGTGGAACAACCAGTCTAAGACCTAACGTGACCTCACGTGTTCATATGGAAATGTAATGACTTGGATGTGCCACTATAAGAAATGCTTAATGCTCTCCAAAAAAAGTCATTCTATAGTGTGGCTTCTATGATTCACCCAGTTGACTTTCTCATGCTTTCTGGAAGAATTCTTGTCCAGATTAGAAAGCTCTGGCCGATTTTTCTATCATGTTTTGCATGAGTGGTTGGTCTTACTGTTGGCGAAAAAAAGCATGTATCACTGTGCTGATGATCCATGTGCTATATGAGATGTGGCATTATTTAAAATATACAAGCAGGCAGAGACCTTTCTGTCAGGCAAGCTTTCCCTGAGTGAATGGCTGCCTGAGTGGGGTTTTTAAAATGGATTATTGTACCTTCTTGCATTAAATATGTTTTGCTGTTGCTTATGTTGCTCATTGTTACTAATCTTAAATACTGTCCCTTAACTGTTTTAAGACACTAAGTCCTTTTTAAGGAGAATGGCGGGTAACAACAGCAACGAAACACAAATATTTTAGGTTAAAACCAGCACTTTGAATTTTGCCCAGAAACAGAGTGCAGCCAGCGGAGCTGCTGTAACCAGTGAGTTATACCCTGTTTCCCCTAAAATAAGACCTAACCTGAAAATAAGCCCTAGTATGGTTTTTCATGATGTTCGTAATATAAGCCCTACCCCCAAAAAAGCTCTAGTTAAGTGAAACTCCACCCTTGTGCAGCATTGTGCAGCAACCAAAAGATGACATGACTGTAAATAAAACATCCCCTGAAAATAAGCCCTAATGCGTTTTTTCAGCAAAAATTAATGTAAGACCCTGTCTTATTTTCTGGGAAACACTGTATGTTTCCTGTAACCAGCCCCAATTAACAATTTGGCTGTGGCATTTTGGACCCACTGGAGTTTATGAACACTTTCTGAAGACAATTTCACTTAAAGCACATTATACTAATCCAGCCGGGATATAACTAAGGCATGTGTCACCATCACCAAATCAGACCTCCCAAGGAACATGCAGAGAGGGATTCCTGGCCACCACTGAAACTCTGGCATCCAGGCTCAGAGATGAATCCAGGAGAATCTCCAAGCAGTGTACCTGTTTTTTTCAGAGGGAGTTTGATGCCATTCAGCACAGGATGAATCCCCATTGATCTGTCTTTCAGCTGACCAGGAGCTCCTCTGTCTTGTCTGGATTAAGTTTCGGTTTATTCATCCTCACGTAGTCCATTCCTGACATCACATACTGATCTAGAGCTGAAACGACTTCCTCAGATTTCGATGGAAAGGAAAGAGAGAGTTGGGTGTGATCCGCATACTGGTGACATCAAACCTCAGAACTCCAGACGATCTCTCCCATTGGTTTCATGTAGAAGTTAAATAGCATTGGGTACAAAACAGAATCCTGAGAGATATCACAGGACAGCGGCCCAGGTGTCGAACAGGTTTCTTCTAGCACCACCTTCTGAGTTCTCAACTCCAGGAAGGACTGGAGCCACCGTAAATTGATGCATTCCAGTCCCATCCCAGGGAAATGGCCCAGAAGTGGCATCAAAAGCCACTGAGAGGCCTTGCAGAATCACAGGGACACACTGCCCCGTCTAGAGTCTAGTGTGGGTCATCCACCAAGGCGACCAAAGCAATTTCCATCCCACAGCTAGGCCTGAAGCCAGATTGAAATGGATCTCAATAATTAGGTTTGTTACTAGAAGTTGACTGGCATTTTGAAATAGTTTTTAATTCCTTTTTGATAGTCATTAATCATTTCACGTTTATTCAGCCAGGGATTTACTGGACATCCTCCAAAAGGCAACATGGGGGCAGCACACTGACCAGGAAGATCAGCTGCTTGAAACCAAGGAACTCTTATTTCAGAAGTGCTTTTGCTGTCCTTCTTTTAATATGCTTTGACAGCTGACTTTGAGCTAAGGTAAAGGTTAAAGGTTCCCCTTGACATTTAGTCCAGTCGTGTCCAACTCGAGGGCGCGTTGCTCATCCCTGTCTCCAAGCTGTAGAGCCAGCGTTTGTCCAAGTGCCGTTTCTGTGGTCACGTGGCCAGTTCGACTAGACACCGAACGCCTTGACCTTCCCACCGAGGTGGTGCCTATTTATCTCCTCACATTTTACATGCTTTCAAACGGCTAGGTTGACTTTGAGCTAGGGAAGAACAATTAATGGTTTTTGGTTATACAGTACAGTATATGGCTTTCAGGGACATTCCCTTTTACCCAGCTTTCCGTCCTATTTGTGAGTGAAACCAGACGTTGCAACTTTTCACCAGTCGGTGGTGCTACCTGCCTCATTACATCTGCCCCTGACAATAGGGGATGGGCCACAGGCTCTTAAACCATAATCACACCTCTGACTACCCGATGAACAGCTGAAATACATAAGGGAAGAATCTGACAAGAATTTTTGGTGCTGATTTGTCTTGCCTGTGTCTGAGTTGAGTAGAGCCAGTGTTGCTGGCATCAGCTTTGTTGAATAATTAATGCATTTTGGCCCTGACCATACTTTAAGGGAAATAAATAATTGAAGGCTGAAGAAAGTGAGGGATCAGATTTAGATAATCCCAAAAGTGTGTGAGTATATTAACAGAGCACAGTCCTGCATTATCCTTAAAGATGAATGAAAGTAGGCTTCTAGAATTGCATGCACTTTTCCATCAACTCTGGAGACCTATGGATATTTCTGTTAAACCACTGTGCTAATGTCTCTCTTGTTGATTGGGAATTTCTTTTTCTTTAATGGCATGTTCAGTTCCAGCTGATATGAAGCTCTGCTGTAGATTGTGTTATAATCCACATGGAAACTGGGCACTTCCACCTTACTGCAAACCTTAATCAAGGTTCTGAGGCCAGCAGTTGCTATCTGCTGCTGGGTTTCTTCATAAATACTGATACAGTACTTAGATTTTTCTTTTAAAAAATTTCATTGTCAGAAGCAATTAAAAGAACTCCAAGGCCATGTGTACTTCAGCTAGGTTGTTTAACCTGCCATTCCCCCCACCTCACCCGGCACATTGTACAAGAAGTGCTGTTTTTAGCTCATCTGTTTTGATTGTTCTTTGCACATCAAAATATATATTTGTGTTTCTTTTTTTCTCTCTCCTTCTTAGGATTGGACCTATCCGATGAGGCGTGAGATGCAGGTGTGTGTGTTTCTTTTTCAGTCGGAATCAAGTAGTTGTCTATGAGAGCCTTGATGCTGTTGCAAGTGTTCAGCAGGTTCCTTGAGGCCGTCTGTCGAGGACTGCAATGCTGAGGGAAATTGCTCTGGAAGGACTGTCTTCTTTTCCAAGATGTTATCATGGGATGGCAGGACTAACACCCTAGGAAAAATATCCTACAAGTGCCGTCAGGGCTACAAAGAAACTGCAAATTCATGGTTTGGTGTCTGCTTCAAAGTTCCTTCCTTCCCTTCCCTCCCTACCTCCCTCTCTCCCAACCTCCCTCCCTTCCAACACGGTGCCCCTTTCTATATTTCAACCAGGCATGGTGCTGAGTCGGCGTCCGGCTCGGAGAGATCCTCTCCCAGACCCCTTGCCCTTCTTTTGCGGCACAGTCTGGGCCACGTGGGCAAATCACAGTCCAGGCCTTGCTTCTGAAAGCTATTGTCTGTGCCCAAGTTATCTGGCTTTGCCCTCTCTACCTAACTACACCTATTTGTTTCATTTGCCAGCTTTTCAGGGCAGCTGTGTGCTTGCTGTATGCAAGGGCCACAGTTATCTTTGTCCAGGAGGTCGGGGCTCTGCTGTTCTTTCCATGGCTGTGGGCAAAAAAAGAGGGGGAGGATGCTTGTGTTGTCACACGCATGTGGCATGGGTCTGAATATGAAGAATAGCAGAACAAATTCAGGAAGTTGCTAAATTGAGAAGGGTATTGTGAAACATAGATTGATATCTCAGGAAGCTGAAATGTTCACAGGACGTTGTATTCTCTCCAGTTCAAATTATAGATAGACGTTTTCTCACTGCTTTCATCTGAGCATTGTTTAAGTACAGGATGGTGTGTGTGTTTTTATTCTGTGCTGTCAAGTCAGAACCAATGTATAGTAACCCCAATAGGGCTTTCAAGGTAAGTGAGATATTTAAGGAGTGGTTTTACCAGTCCTGCTTTCCCCCAGTGAGTTTCTATGGCCCAGTGGGGATTTGAACCCTGTTGTAGTCCTAGTCTGCCACCCTATCCACTACACCACACTGGGAAACATTGTTTTAAATACAGGATAGTAGCCTTTGCTATTCACTGCTGAAGTTGCCATTCTCAGACCAGGATTCTCAGATGTCTGAGAGGAAGTTGAAACCTTGAAAATACCATAGCAACAAAGGAACTACAACTAATAATTTGAGGACCATCTGTGTGGCCCAGTATCTGATGCGTGAAGCAGCTACCTGACTGTGCTTGATTCAAAACATTTACAGTGGTGCCTCGCATAGCGATCGTTCCGTATAGCGATGAAATCGCTTTGCGATGGACTTTTTGCTATCGCAAAAGCGATGGCTTTGCGATGGTCCCTATGGGGAAGCGATCAACGCAAAGCCTTCATTTTCGGCCAGCTGATCAGCGGTTTCAAAATGGCCGCCGGGTAAACAAAATGGCCGCCCGCTGTGTTTCCTCGCTTAAGAGGCACCGAAAATGGCCGCCCCCATGGAGGATCTTCGCTTAAAAGCGAGTTTTTAGCCCATAGGAACGCATTAATTGCATTTTAATGTGTTTCTATGGGCTTTTTATTTTCACTTAGCGATGTTATCTCTTAGCGATTTTTTCTGCACAGATTAACATCGGTAAGCGAGGCACCACTGTATATTAAAACGTTAATTTGATTTTAGTACTGTTGAGAACTGTGGATTACGGAATTGTAGCCTGGATTAAAATGCTTAAGAAAAAGAACAAATCCTTCACCACCTGTTGTAGAACCTGATCTTGTAGAGACAGAGTAATTCACCATTGTATAGGAGACCGACAGGAAAAAAAAATCCTAGCAGAAGATGCCTTGAAATAGGGCTTTGCCTGTTGCATATTCATTTGTTCTACATTCAGGAACCCTGCCCCCCCCTCCAAATATCAACGCTGCCCTTAGAGAACTATTTCTCCCTAACAGTCTAGATTGCTAAAGTTTTCGTTTTTATTTTATTTTATGCACTTATATACTGTGGGTTCATGGCAAAGCACTGCTGTGAGTAACCAAACAGATAAACATATCTCTGGACATCAGATATAAAATAATTTTGGTAAGAAGGTATCCAGTTCACAGAGACGAAAATACCTTTTTTTGGGGGGGGGGAATCAAAACAGATGAAAGTGGGTTTAAGTTTAAGTATTCATTGAAAAGTTGGAATAAAAGTTCCACATGTGCTTGAGATCACATGGTCTTGATCTGTACTCTGGATAATTAGAGTAGACTTCAGTCTAGATGGGTGGGATATAAATAAAATAAATAAAATAATATAATTATTCTGTCAGCAAGACTCATTTACCTTGGTCTGGTTCGTCGTGTACATTTGCAGGCCTCTAACTGCCTTAGAGGGATTAAGGCTCCACAGACAGCCTAGATATAATATTTCGAAGCGGGAAGGAAGCTTGAGATGCTGCAGCCAAATTATACTCTCCGGGAGGCAGAAGAGTTCTTGGGATCATGGTCTGCAGTATGATTTTTTTTAGTTAGGCATCCTTCAGTCTCGAAAGACTATGGTCACGTGCTCTGTATGGAAGACTTGGAACAGCATCTAGTGTGGCTGAGAAGGCCAATTCGAGAGTGACCATCCCTTCCACACTGAAGAGAAATACAGTCTGTACCCCATCCAACTCCCTGATTTGGCTGGTTTCAGGACAGCCTCTTTTCCTTGGCCTGCTGGACAATGATCTCTTGAAATTGGGAGAGGCCGCGATGCACCACCTGCCTCCAGGCTGAATGCTCAGATGTCAGGGTTTCCCATCTGTTGAGGTCCATTCCTAAGGCCTTCAGATCCCGCTTGCAGATGTCCTTGCAGTATGATTACCTCAGCAGCAACGGGCTCTTGCCTGCTGCTGAGGCTTTTCACCTCGCCCTCTCCATAGCCTCTATTTTGTTCATGCTTCTGTCACTTTTCCTTCTGCAGAAAATACCAGGTTATTAACTGATCAGCACAAACCATGTGCAACCTTTCTGGCGACTTCCGCTAGTCCGTATCAAGCAGCATGGTTGTAATGTCCACTCTTACCAGCCTGGGAATTTTCTCTTTCGGGCACTGTGCTGCAGTGCACACTTCCCTTGTAGCCCCAGCACTGACAAAACAGGAAGACACATCCAGCCTTTTCAGGCTTTGATTTGTTTATCAAATACATAGAATCTAGTCAGAGCCACACCAGATTGATCCAGAGTCCTGTTTCCTGCCTCTGCTAGTGAGATAACAGCCATCCTCCCAAGAGGTTAGATTGCAGTACTGCAGCCAAGGTACTGCTCATGACCTGGGTTCAATTCTAGGGAGCCGGCTTGAGGTTCACTCAGCCTTCCATCCTTCCAAAGGTCAGCGTCTAGTTCACTGGGTGGGGGGACGGGACAAGACAGCCTTCATAATTAAACTGCAGACTGCCCAGAGTGTACCGTAAGTGCTATGGAGCGGTATATTATTTATTTATTTATTTTATTTTATTTATATCCCGACTATCTGGTCGGTTAAAGCAGCACGCTTTGCCTTGCCTTTAATATGTCTGATCTTATAAAGCCATCCAGGTTGGTGTCCTACCTCTTGCTACAGTGAGTCCCACCGTACACTGCCTGAAGAAAACCATCCTTCAGTTTGGCTTGAATCCCCGACCAATTAGCTTCACTGGATGAACTCTTAAGTTTTTGTAGAGAAATGGCTCCATCTCTACATTGTGCCTAATTTCTACACCACTTACCAGCTCCTCTGCCCAGTGTACCTTCTTTCCAAGATTAAAAGCCCCAAAATTGTGATTGCACCTGTTTCTACCCCTTGATAATTTTGGCTCCTCTACTTTTTCCGACTCTGCAACGTTCTTTCTGAAATGCAGTGACTGTGTGTTTGTGGTATTACAGATTTGATTGTATCCTAGATGCGTATGAAAGGCTTACAATATTGGCTATTTTATTTTCAGGAGCTTTCCTTATGAACCCCAACCGAAGGAGGAGTTCAGCTTTTTCATAGCCCTTGCACACTTGATTTCCGCTTTCACAGAGCTACTAGCCACAGCCTCCAGATCCCTTTTCTGATTCACCCCCCCCACCAGCTCAGAAACCTGTATCATATGTGCAAAGTTTGTTTTCCAGTGTGTATCACTTTATACTTTTTCATGCTGAAGTAGATTTGCTTTTTTAATACCCATTTCTCAATGTGGGGATATCATTTCTGTTCTAATCCTGCTAAATAATTGGGTGGAATCAGCAGACTTGGGCACCTCATTGTTCTCCCTGATCTTGTATATATTTTGTGAGCAGGTTAAAAAACATTAATTCTGAAACAGATCCTTAGGAGACTCACTCACATCTAGCTTGTCTTTATGAGAAACAGACATTTAGTCCTGCTCCCCTTCTTTGCTTGAATAAGATAAATAAATAAAGAAAGAAATAGGACTTTTCTTATCTTACAGCTGCTGAATCTGTTAAGGAGGTTTTTGTACAGTCATGGCCAAAAATATCGGCACCCTTGCATTTCTGTCAGAAAGTGCAACCCTTCTCTCAGAAAATTGTTGCAGTTGCAAATGTTTTGGTACTCAAATGTTCATTTCTTTGGTTTGTGTTGGAACAGCACGAAAAAAACAAGAAAAGTCAAATCTGATACAATCCCACATAGAAACCCAAAAATGCACTGGCCAAAATTATTGACACCCTGTCTAAATTGTAAGAAATTATTGTTTTCAAGCATGTGATGCTCCTTTAATTTGTATTTAGACACACCTGTTCCAAGTAAGGGGTGTGGGAAATATAGTAATCACACTTGCAACCAATTAAGATAGAGAAAAGTTGACAGCCTTTGTGTTCTATGTTCTCTCTGAGTATGGAGAAAAAAATGAAGTGTAAAGAGTTTTCTGTAGATTTGAGAAATAAAAAAGTAGGAAACCATTGACAATCTCAAGGCTACAAGTCCATCTCCAGAGATCTTAATGTTTCTGTGTCCACTGTGTGCAGTATCGTCAAGAGGTTTACAGCCCGTGGCACTGATTGATTTCAGTTATTTTTCCAAAGGGGGTGCGACCAAATATTAAGTTAAGGGTGCCAGTCATTTTGGCCAGTGCCTTTTTGGGTTTCTGTGTGGGACTGTATCAGATTTGACTTTTCTTCTCTCTCTCTCTTTTCTTTTTGGTTTGTGTTCCAATGCAAACCAAAGAAATGAAAATGAACACCAAACATTTGCAACTGCAACAATTTTCTGAGAGAAGGGTTGCATTTTCTGATAGAATTGCAAGGATGCCAATATATTTGGCCATGACTGTAGAAGACTCAAAATCCTTTGAAAACCCAGATAAACAATGTCTACCAAATTGTAATACTTGTTGACATCGCTAGATAACGCCCATGTCATTAATTCCATCAGTGTGAACCATTCTATCATGTAGCACTTAACGATAATTTAATGCTATAATTTTTGGTGGACTGAATTTTGTATTTCCTCCCTTTATTCTTTTTAGGAGATTTTACCTGGGTTGTTCTTGGGCCCATATTCTTCGGCTATGAAAAGTAAGGTAAGTCTGCCTATGATTCTTTTATGCTGAGCCTAATTTTGTAACCTGTAACCATCATACCTAGGGTGTGAAAAGCCCTTCCACGCAGGTTCGTTGTTCCTCCTCAGTTATTTGATCTTTAGCCATCAAGGTTCCACTCAACATTTAATCTCGTAAATATATTACCTTCATGAAAACTGAACTATGGAGGTATCTGTTGCACAATCCTGTAACTAAATGTGTTTTTTTTTCTGTCATTGTTGTATTTTGTAAAGGTCCCCATTTGCTGTTTGTTTTGCAGCTACCTATACTTCAGAAGCATGGAATTACCCATGTAATATGCATACGACAAAATATTGAAGCAAACTTTATTAAACCAAACTTCCAGCAATTATTTAGGTAAGAAACCTGTAGAGCCCTTCTTTGGAAATGACAGTTGTGAAGTCTTGAATTCAAAATGGTACTTGTGTGACTATTATTTCTCTCTTCTACATACAATTAATGCTTAATCGCCCTCCCGTGGAATCCAGTAGGTGGATTAAGGCTTCAAGAGGCAGTTGTGGTAGTGTGTTCTCACAGGAGCTTCTTTACATGCCTTCCCTTAGGCACCAAGCAACAGACTTATGTAGGGAACAACATAATTTCACATGGAGGCTTGTGTGAGGCTTGCTGAGTACAAGTTCTGGTTATATCATTGATAGCCCAGTTTTTGGGGAAAAAACATTTTCTATTGTGATGTGTACATAGCATGCAATTTAAAGTACAGTGGTGCCCTGCTTGACAATGATAATGCATTCTGTTAAAATCGCTGTTAAGCGAAATCATTGTCAAGCGAAAGTAAAAACCCCATTGAAGTGCATTTAAAATTGGTCAATGCGTTCCAATGGGGGAGGAAATACCTCATTGTCCAGTGAAGAGCGCCCATAGAGAACCGCTGATTAAATGGGGGGGGAAATACCTCATCGTCCAGCGAAGAGCGCCCATAGAGAACCGCTGATTAGCTGTTCTAATTCCTTGTAATGCAAAGCTTCCGTCTGGAAAACCGCCATTTTGCGAAGGGAGGGAAGCCATTTTGCAGAGCTGGAAAAATCGTTGTTAAGCGAACAAACGGTTCGCGAAGCAGGCTCCTAATTGACGTCAAGCAAAAAACCCCATTGGAACCATCGCTTTGCGATCACAATAGTGATCACAAAAAACCTCATTGGACCCATCGTTTTGGGATCACAATAATGATCACAAAAAAAACATAAAGCGATTTCGACATCATGCGGGGTAAGCGTCAAGTGGGGCACTGCTGTACAATACAAATTTCAGCTTCTGCAGGGAGGGCATAGAAATTTCAGGCAATAAGATAAACATTTTCTGTGCTAGGTCTGATCAATATAGAAGTTGCTCAATGCTGGCTGTGTACTTAACACACTTATTTTAATTGTAGGTATTTAGTCTTGGATATTGCAGATAATCCCATTGAAAATATAATAAGATTTTTCCCAATGGTAAGTATTTATGCGCTTATGAATTCAGCTGTTGTTTGTTGTAGCTTTTAGAAGTCATGTGAGTGGGAGATGAGGCATCCTATCTCTTGAGCGTTTCAGCTCACATTCATCTGTGGTTGCCGCCAGTAATGACTGATGGAGATGCTCTGCCGAGCATTTTGCTGCGTTGTTTTGTGTGGCTGAACTACATGATTTCTACCTAAAGTGTCCTCACAACTAATTAGTCTTGTGAATCACTGCTGATTGTCATAAAACAAATTAGTTTGTCACCATGGGTACAATCCAGTATGAATTACTCTTGCACAAGCTACAGTAAATGAACAGAAATTGCTTTTGCGTAGTTTCAGTTTGTTTTAAGTGACATGTGCAAGAAACTTCCCAGTAGATTGTACTGGTGACAGCTGTCATGACATGATCACGTGGGTATTTATGGGGCAAGACTCAGCATGAGATCCTGAGGTTCAAAATGGTAATCTGTCACTGTAAATTTCCTGGAAGAGATTTCAGTTGCTTTTGCTGTGTAATCAGTTTGAGATACAACTTCAGTTTTAGAAACCCAGAGATAACTACTTTAAGATTTCATAATTTATTTAGATTTTCATCCACATGCATCACCAAAGTGCACCTTAGAAATGTGCATCAGAAGGAGAGTTAAGTCTACAACCTGCATACGCCGTCACTCAATCCTGTGACTCAGTCATGAACAAAAGTTAAGCAAGTAGGTTTACAGAGAGGTAGATGTGTTAGTCTGTTTCACACACTGGCCAAAATAAAAAAAAATTGTGGCACCCTTGAGTCTAACAAAAATATTACAGGCTGAGCTTCTGTGAATTACAGTCCACTTCTTCAAACTCAGATTGTAAACCATGAAAGCTTGCACTAAAAGAAATTTGTTACAGTGGTGGGTGCCTCGCTTGACGACGTTAATTCGTTCCAGCGAAATCGCTGTAAAGCGAAAAAGTCATCAAACGAAATAAAAAAACCCATTGAAACGCATTGAAAACCATTCAGTGCATTCCAATGGGCTGAATACCTGCTCATCCAGCGAAGGTCCTTTATACGGCAGCCATTTTCTGGTGCCTGTTAAGTGAAAAATCAGTCCTAAAAACAGCAGGGGGGCATTTTCTTCACCTGGTGGCCATTTTGAAACCTGGCGATCTGCTGTTTGCTGATCATCGTAAAGCGAAAATCGGTTCCCGAAGCAGGGAACCGATCATCGTGAAACGAAGAAACCCCATTTAAACCATCGTTTAAAACTTCAACGTTAAGGGGATTCGTCGTAGAGCAGGGTAATCGTCTAGCGGGGCACAACTGTAGTCAGAAAGGTGTCGGGGTACTTGGGTTTTTTGGTGTTGTAAATGTAGATTTTGCACTTGTTTAATTTTTTACTTTTATTTTTATTTGGTTAAGCATAGGGAGAAACGGTTGCCTTTCCAACGTTCTTTTCTACCGTACCCACGCCCAGTCTGATTTTATATGTATAGATCTAGATATCAGAAAACAGAATTGACTTACCATGTTGTTTCAAGCCAGACTTTTAAAAAAGATTCTTATCAGATGGCTGTCCTCAGTCTTAAAAAAAAAATGATCATGCATCATGGGTGCTACATCTTGCCCTGAAAATCGGAAATCTATTTGAGCTATTTTTATCCCACCTTTTCACTAAAAGTGCCAAAGATGGGTGGCTAAGAATAAAAATAACACAATCCAAAATCAAATTGAATAAAGATGCAAATGAATAGTAACAGTGTTTTGTTTAAATATCAGGGCTGACCTTTAAGCACCAATGCTATCAACAGAAGGCACTTTCCAAGAAACCTGCCCCCCTCCCTTCTCTGTTGCCTGCCAGAATAGACTTCGAATGCATGCCTCAGTCTCATCGAGAGATTCCAGAACACACCTTTCTGGATGGTAGAGTTTTTAGGGAGAACGTGGGTGGACCTGAGGAGAGTTAAAGAACCTCTAAGCTTCAGAAATCCTCGCAGGCATAATCCGTGCCCAGGCTTTGAGTGACCTGCAGCTTTGATTGGATTCTGGGTCGGTTCCTCTGAGACAGCTTTAAACCCTATGAAATGTCAGCAGAGATGGGAAGCAGGCAGCCTCCAAGGGTTATCATCCTCTTTCAAGTACAGCGGTACCTCGACTTGAGAATGCCCCTACATACAAATGATTCGACTTAAGAATGGCTCCGTTCACAAAAAGTTGCTTCGACTTGAGAACAGAGCCTTGACTTAAGAACCAAATAAAAACCGAAACAAACAAACAAACCCACAACCCATTGCTGGCCCTTGTTTGACCTAAGCTGACCTTAGGTCAAAAGAAGAAGAAAATTCACCCTCTAGTGGTAGATACGGATTAACCGGCTTTGTATTAGTTCCTGTGGGAACTAATACTTCGACTTAAGAACAATGCCTCGATTTAAGAACGAAAAACAGCAGATACAGATTAAATGGTTTTCAATGCATTCCTATGGGAAATGGTGCTTCGACTTATGAACGTTTCGACTTAAGAACGCAGTCCCAATATGGATTAAGTTCTTAAGTCGAGGTACCACTGTAGTTTTGGTTACGATATTCTTTTTAGTATTGCCTTTTTGAGAAGAAAGTTTTCTATTGTAGTATCAAGGCCAGTTACTGTAGTCCAGTGTTTAATTCAATGTCTTCATCTGACCTTCTTTTTGGAGCCGAAGACATTTCGTGAATGTTACTTGGTTTCTCTAAAGTAAGGACATTTTTGTTGACCAGAAGAGAAATTGAATCTCTTTTCCCCCCCTCTTTTAGACTAAGGAATTTATTGATGGGAGTTTACAGACTGGAGGTAAGTGTATTCAGTTGTTTGTTTGTGTGGTTTATCAGATATTGTTACAGATCCAAAGGTACAGGCAGACGATACCTTTATTGGGCCACCAGAAAACTGAACAAATAGCTAGCTTTTCCTCTAAGCTAGTCTTCAGATAAGTGACATTCTCAGGCTACCTGTGCGTGCAAGCGAGGTGGATATCCTTTGCCATAGGAACGCAAGACTTTCCCCACTGCAGCTTGTTGACCCTTTTAATGCAGGTGAGCACCTTGCGGTCCTCCTGGTGTTGTGGGAGAGATGTTAGGGGGGAGAGAGGGGAATGGATGGGCATAGGGCCACCCAGCAGTATCAGAAGAGCCACTGATTCCTCACTCCGCGGAACAGTTTTTCACAGTCAAAGAACAATGTTTTCCCTCAGTCGTTTGACCCTTGGTTTAAGTCTATAGCAGTAGATGGGGAACTGCCGTCTATGTCCATCTGCTGTGCCTAGATTATTTAGCTGGCGCTTGGGAGCCATGCTTTTGTCCCAGCTGCCACCATGGGTCCCAGAAATGGCTGAATGCGGCTATTTTCCCGGCCCTGGATGGCTACTTCTGGGTTGCTTTTGTTTCCCTTTTTGAAGGGATGTCTCGGGGGACCTCCCAGCTCTAGAAAGCTTCCAAGGGTGGAAATAGGAAGAGGGAAAAAAATAAACTTGAAAGGTCTTGGGGTGGTCTTGGACATTGCAGCAATTGCCCTTGGATTCATTTGGCCCATGGATCACATGATCCCCATCCACTCTGACTTAGGGGGTCATTTGGATAAATCAGAGCAAGACATGGAAGCCTGCTATTGGGTCATCGGAAAGCAAGTCACTGAGCCTAGAGGACTGCTTTCCACTCAGGTGTGCATGAGATATTTACACTTGTTTCACTAATGGTTTTATTTCTGATCATGGCAGTGGCCATGGCTTAAAAGATTGTTAATACATTGGGGTGTTGTGTGTTTGGATCACATGCCTTTATTTTATGTGTTTAATTGGATGATACATACATCCCACCTTTTGATTAAAGTGATCCTTGGAGCAGCTTTACAGGAGATTATAATAATGCCATAAATCTGCACCGCCCTGCCTGCTTTGGTTCTTCGTCTAATGGCAGAGGTCAGAGAGTGCTTCAACTCTGCATCCAAAGAGCAACTGGCATCTGACCCCCAAGCCGCCTCTCTTGCACCTGCTCCTTTGTTGGCCAGTGGAATCGATGGGAGGCAAGAAGTGCCATCACTCTCCTCCCCTGGTCACTATTTGTAAGCCACCCTTGTGGATAATGATATGGATGACATGACAGGATAGAACTAAAAGAATAAAAACACAGGAGTTTTAAGTTACTGTTGGAAGAAATTCTCTGTGCTGGTGTAAAATAACTTTCTTCATTCTCAGGAAAAGTTCTTGTCCATGGGAACGCTGGGATTTCTCGAAGGTAACAAAGCTCATATTTTTTACAAACATTCATAAAGCAGGGGAAACATACCTTACCTGGTTTGTTTGTCTTCTTTTTCAGTGCTGCCTTAGTTATTGCATACATTATGGAAACCTTTGGAGTGAAGTACAGGTGAGGAAAAGTATTAACCTTCCTTCTGTTTGGAGGAAAGCATTTGGCTTACTTCCGGAGCGCAGATCTTGCTCATGGAAGGTTGCAGGTTCAAATGTGTAGCCTGTATAATTAAAAATTGTAAACCGCCCGGAGAGTGCTTGTAGCGCTATGGGGCGGTATATAAGTCCAATAAAATAAATAAATAATAAAATAAATCCTAGGAACCACTGCCGGTTAAACGAGGAAATGGTCTGACTGTGTGTAAGGCACCTTTTGTACATTTCTAATGTAAAAATGGTGGGTAGCTGATGGAAGGGCCATTATATGGCCAAAATGGGTTTCCTGGTGTAATATAAGCTCACCACTGCCAAGACTAGCTACTAGCTGGATCCAGTCAAGTTCCATGAATAACAAAGAGCTCCCAAGAGCTGCAAAAAAGATTCAGCAATAGAAAGAAAACAGCAGCATATCTTGGTCTCTATTCCTAAAATGTATCAGTATTGGGTAGCTTTATAATCTTTTTTGGTCTAAACACAATGTCAGCTGTATTTAAGCTGTATTTGAAGCAGACTGGCACCTTTATAATCTTGTTTGGTCTAAACACAATGTCAGCTGTTTTTAAGCTGTATTTGAAGCAGACTGGCACACTTGAAAACACTGTGTAATACTAGACTGTGTTGGGGGCGAAGATCAGTCTCTGCAGCTGTTGTCTTGTCATGCCAGGCTAAGTTGCCGATTCCTTTTTGCTGTGTTCAGCAGGAGCAACAGTGGAGCAGATCTGCTGGCGTTGAGGTTGTGGCCAATGGCCACTGGGAAATTCAGGCTGCCCAATCTTTTTCAGTGTTTGAAGGCGCTAGTCAGCTTGACATTAACAACCTCCAGTGTAAATGCTGTGGTGAAACCAAAGCTGTATCACCCTTTCCCTAACCATGTAGTTGTCTTAAACTTCTCCATATGTGTCAGAAATAATCAAAGGTGCTCCCAGGATGGATGGATCATCAGACAGGGTGTATTCATAGTCCTTGTTTTTCCAGGAGGCTCTTTCCATGTCCCCCATCTTGCACTGAATCAGGTTACCAGTCCTCCTCACACACTGTTATCAAACCTAATTTGCTTTGTCTCTCCCTGTTCTTGAGCAGAGATCATTGGTAGTAGCCCTGCTGCTTCTTATACTTCTCCATTTGTGTCAGAAATAATCAAAGGTGCTCTCAGGGTGGATGGATCATCAGACAGGGTGTATTCATAGTCCTTGTTTTTCCAGGAGGCTCTTTCCATGTCCCCCATCTTGCACTGAATCAGGTTACCAGTCCTCCTCACACACTGTTATCAAACCTAATTTGCTTTGGCTCTCCCTGTTCTTGAGCAGAGATCATTGGTAGTAGCCCTGCTGCTTGGAATCTCTTCAAGGATGATACTAAGGTGGAACATGGGACTTGTGACATAGCCTTTGAGCTGAGGTCCCTCCTGGCATACTGAGCTTAGGCAGAAAGGCCAGCTCCTTGTACAACAGAAAGCTTAATGCCTCCAAATGTGGGATACATCTGCTATGGGCCCATCTTCCCTTGTCCCAGTGGAGCCCCCTGGAGAAATCAGTGAGTGCCTGGCATCCAGGGCTCTTGGGATACTTCCAGCTTATTAAAGATGGTGAAAAAGAGAGAGAGAGAGAGAGAGTGGTGTTTTGAAGCGCTACAGCACGCCAGCACTTCTAGGGCAATGGAAAGGGCATGTGCTGGTGTTTGGAAGCGCTACAGCATGCCAACACTTCTAGGGCAATGGAAAGGGCATGTGCGTGTGCTGAAGCCTTCCACTGTGGAGGCCTCTGGTCCTGTGAAGAAGGAATATTACTGATAGGATTGGGCTCCTGCAGCTTTGTCCATAGAGTTGTGAATGTAATACGTTGGGATATCAGAAGCTGTGATGA